ATGCTACCAACATTAGATACACTGAGAACTAAAGAATTACACACACAACGTGCGTAACGTCCTATGTCTCCTATATATATATATACCATTGGTTAATAATATTTAATTATAATAAATATGTCATAAAAATCATATAACAAGATAGTGCATAGTGTAGACATTGATTTATATTCACCGCGATTCTCAGCTCAAGAAGATGAGAACAAAAAAAAATTTTTCCAGTTAGTTTTATGGTGCTATTTTGTTTAATTTAGTGACAACTTTTATTCTAATCTATACTTCTTACTTCTCTACCTACCACAAGTTTTTACTACTATAAAAAATATAAATTTCTACTTTTACCACTTACGGATACTCTATCGGATACTTATTCAATCCAGCCGATAAATTTATCTTACACCGCCATCTGTTAGAATCTTATGGAACTCACAGATCGCGCTTTGTCATCAGATAATCAAATAATTTGCAAAAATAAATATTGAAGTCAATAATTGAGATAAAAAATACCCTATCGATCAAGTAGAACCAAATTGCAAATGCTTACAAAATTTGATAACAATTGGTTTAGTAGTTTCAGAGTTTATCGCGTGCATACATTGTGACTCGAAATTTTTATATATATATAGATTATTCGACGTATGTTAGCTGTAAGTTTTCCATGTATAAATAAAATTAAATAAAACTGTCACAACTACCTGCGATATTTCTATATCTAAAAACTCTGCCTAATTCGTACGGACCGTCTAGTCCTTGATTAAAAAAATGCATTATAACGTAATAAGTTATAGCTGACTTCCAATAGGGCTGAAATTCGTCGGTATACACACAGAATGCACGTGAGTTAAGTAGTTTTATTAATCCGTTAGAGTAGATAAAATACGTTGAGATTTTCATTGATGTCAAGTTAAGCCGTTAAGCTCAGTGGCTAGTGTTGGGCGCGTATCCCGGAGGAGGCAGGTTCAAATCCTCGCAGCGGCAATCAACTAATAGTCAATTTTTCAAAAAAAAATTCAAAAGATTTTTATAGTGCTAATCTCTGCACTTAACATTGAACATTATATTTTGTATGCTGAAAAGGATATTACAATGGATGCGCCAAGCATTGCTTCAAATGCGAAAAAACAATGTAGTTAAAAAATGAAAGATTTTCGTCGTTGTGGCATTCAGTCGTTTAGATTAGTGGCTAAAGCGTCACTACCCGAATCCCTCAGACGTGGGTTCGATTCCCACAGCGGGGGCAAACTTTTCGTACTTTTTTCCACCAATTTTAATATATACTACAATTCTTAAAATTCGCAAAAAAATTTCGTTAAGAATCCCAAAGAATTGGTAAGAGTTTTAAAAATCCCGATTCATTCAGAATAACGAACCGTCTACTTTCAACTGGTGCAGCGTAAGTGGCGTTAACTAGACGCCCCGGAAGTGCACCGGTGGCTGACCGGAAATTTGCCTAGCGAAGCCTCCCTTAGACCAATTCAGCTCGATGACATCGTGTGTTCCTAAACAGGTCACGTGTTTCATTCTATTGGTAACGTGGTCACGACTAATCGTGATAAATACATTGAATTCAAATATTGTACTTTAACTTAAAGATTTGGATGCTTAGGCTCCGACAACACTATGCCACTAACTCACCGTGGTGGACTGGACCATATTCCAGCGGCTGTTCTGAGGCTCATCAACCTGTGTGGTCTCTTGTACGAAAATGTCTGTTCCGTTTCTCATACCAGACTGATGAAGTGCTTAAAGTTTTTGAAGCTTCCTAATGTATAGCCTGAAGAGTAGAGAGAGTAACAGCCTATAAATGTCCCATTGCTGAGCAAAGGCTCAGAGCTTATAGCATCTGAAGTGTACCAGACCGCACGCGGGCACTTTTTGGCACACTTCGGTTGCTGCTCTGAATTTTTTTTTATCATTTTGAAAATATGCAGGTTACCTCGAGACGTTTTCCTTCACCGCTGAACATGTGATAAGTCAGTACTTAAAATTAACAATGTCATTGGTGCAGGCACCCATCGAACTAAGTTTTTGAAGAACTTTCAGAACTTTTCGGAATGATAACAAAAAAATATTTTAGATAATATGTGAAGTCCGCCAATCCGCAGTGGGGAGCGAGGTGGACTATCCCCTAATGCCCCCAGTACAGAGGAGGCCTTTGCCCAGCAATTGAACATATATTTTTACTTTGCCTATAGCACGCTTAACCATGTATTTTCTAAAGATAAAATGTACTCTAACATGTGCACTCTCGCTTAGAATAGAAGGTCGACAATCAGTATAGTTTGTTCTATGCACACTGAAAGTCTTGCTCGAAATACATACCTATGTACAGGCCACTTGTCCACCTCGGCGGTAACTAAAAAACAGTCCACTGTTGATATGATAAACTCAAGTTTACTGAATTGGTCGCCCCGAGCGGATCCTCTGATTATAGTCCCCAAATGGGAGAACGACTGTAACCAACATCCGCGTACGAGTGACATCTTTATGTCTCATCAGTACAGCGCGGGACTAGCGACACGCAGAATGAGGTTAAACTAGTACACGTCCACTGTGATTCCATTCCCAATGTAACCGTAGTACACACAAAATAAAGTCAATATTTAAGTGTTCCAGAACCTTTTAACTCATTTTGCCTTGATTTTTCGCAATCGGTTTTAATCTCTGTCAAAAGCCCAAGGGAAGATATTTCTTACTGGATGAATATTTGGTTGTTGTGCGACATTTATACACATAAGACTTTAAATTAATTTCACTTTAAGTAAGTTTAATTTAATCCTATATATGGTTTCTAGTTTTTAGTTCGATTTTTAATTGTTATGCCAAGTTATTTTTTAAATAACATTGCCTTTACTTTGGGATAACATTAACTTGTGTTGTAACGACGTTTTACAAATACAAAATTCACGTGGACCATCTGTGGGTCACACAAACATCGTCCCGTGTGGGAATCGAACCCACGATCCCTAGCGTCGACAAATTCGCCACAGAGTCATCAAATGAAACGATTTTTTTTAATATTCCTTTCTTTGGTATATTATTTTGTCCGATTTTGTATTACATGCGATTGAGCTAGAAAAATATTGCGAATTCCATAATAATTAGTAAAGTTACTAAATTATTACTTTATTTATATGTTTTTAAATTATTTCACAGCAAACAATATCGCTTTCTCTCGTTAGAGAGGGTTAAAAAGGTAACGACCTATTTCCGTTCCACTGTTGAATTCATACGGATGTATCTTGTTAATTTTTAATCGTTGACCTTTTCAACGCTTCCGGATGGGATCCCACGATCAAGGGTACTAAAGCATTCCAAAATGTCAACGAAAAAGTGAAACTTCTATCAAGGGCGTAAAAATAAACATGTTTACTCTTTTCCTGCTAACACTAAATGCCTTTTAAGTCAATAAACTCGCTATTTCTATTTATAACACACAATGTATAGCACCAAATACACACACTACGAAAAATACAAACTCTATAGAATCGTAAACTACTAAAAAATCTCTTTAATTTATCGTGTTTCTTAAATACTAAATTTAATGATTTCCGTTCATTCGCTTAATTATTTTGTGAAATGAACTTTAAAGAAAACCAGTTAAAAAACAGAAAACTGTTATAGCGGTTATACTTTATGTACGGTTATAAAGTCACTGTGTCTGAGAAGCACTGGATGGAGTGGCTTTCGAGTGGAATTACTTGGCGCACGATTGTGATCAAGCCACAGAGAGGCCCTTTTGAGCCCCGATTAACATCATTGGCCAGTTAGCAGTTCGCCGAGTTCTGGCAACGTTTAAAATGACAAGTAATTTTTTTTATTGACGGAGAACAAAATCGACTTCGAATATCTCGGCTCTGTATTCATTTTATAAGTGATTTTCAGGAGTTCCCTACGTACCTCCGGAGCCCAATATCTAATACCAATGAAATTAATATAGGGACCATATCGGAAGCACCAGCTTTGAAATAAAAAAAGAATCGTCAAATCGGAGCACTGTGTCGAAAGTTCTGAGGTAACAAACATAAAAAAAACACTGTCGGATTGATAACCTCCTCCTTGTTTGAAGGCGGTTGAAAATAGTAGTAAATAATCCAGTATATGAAAAAATACATTGACAAAACCTGAAAGCGGAAATCGACCTGTGATATATTTACGACTCTACCAACTGAAGGCGACCGTCCTTATGTTTACTGTGCATTTTCAAAACCTATACCTATATATTATCTATATATTTTACAAATATAGTGTCTAAATTCAACAAAAGATTATATTACAAAGGATTCTTCTAAGAAAGTACAAATAGTTATTGTGAAATTTAAAATCTAATGTTTGTGTTATTTAAAATCTAAAGGAAAAGTGTTCATCGTCACACATCGTTAAAGAAATATATTTCATGTTTAGCTGATTAACAATTTCTCTTTTCATTAATGTGGCCAGTTTTAATTTATTAATATTTATGATAAAGAAAACAATCGTTTTGTTATGTTCTCTATTTTCAAAGTAAAAGTAAAAAATTTAAATTAAATTATTTTATATATAGGCTTATTTTAAGCCCGTATTGAACGTCAAAATGGCCAGAGATGAACTCGATAGAAACTCTGCGGTCTTATTATCTTATAACTTTTTTGATGACATAAGTTTTTAAGATTATTTAAATAGATTATCAGCAGCATGGGGATTTGCAAGTGCAGAGCAAGAGTCATTTCCACACATCCTTGCCCTCAATGTGTTCTTCGACATTATAACAGGCCATTTTCAGTGAGCTAGCTTTTAGAAAATGTTTAAAATTGCTTCCGCTCTGCTGTTTGTGGATGTCGCCTATTCTATCATATAAGTTATGTTCAGTTATTTTACAAATAAATTCATTAAATTAGTCCTACGCGTATGCACAAATGAAATTATCAAGATGCTTAATCACACTCGCAAGTTATGTTTTTTAATTGGTTTGAATGTCAACAATCTCATGCTTCCACGCAAGTTGCACGTGCCTCGTACAAATGGGGCTCATTTGTAAGAGCCGTCTCCGCTCCGACGGATCACGGTCTCAAAATCTGCCCCCCTCCTACCCCTTCTGCCCCTCCACCCCTTTCTCCGCACACCCCTCCCCGCGGACACTCGACATTGTTACGAGTAACGAGCTTAATTGTGGCAGAGGCATACTATTGTCACATGTTCAAATTAAACGCCTCACCGCATTTTAGCCGCTGCTGCCACGTTTGGTCGAGACGTTTCACTTGTTTTACACCTGCTTGCAAAGTAAGGGACCCGTTTTTTCATGTGGCAAGTGAGCTGGCGGTACACCTTATGTGTATCTAAAGTGATAACCGCCGCCCATGAACATTTGCAACCCCGTAGGACTTCAACCAACAAAAACCAAATACTATAGGAAGTTACCAAAATTAATTACACAGAATTTGTACCCCAAAGGTGTTGGCTTTTTTATGTGAGAAGTACTAGCAAGCGAGATGGCGGTTCACCTGATGTTAGGTGAAAAACAAACTATATGACACTTTCACTTCACGCCGGTCTCCTCTAGGTCATGGTACTTCCCCGGACGGACCTGCCCATTCGTGCAAGCAAAGACTGTTGCTCAGCCCTATCATAGATAAAAGTTCGCGCTTGTGAAAAAGTGCTTAATTCAAGTATCTTATACAACTGATGATATGATATCAACATGGGTACAATTTAAGTGATATTGACACCGCTGGGCATACAAATCCCTAGCGACCTGTCAGATCGTTTAAAACTTGCTCATACTCCATTCAGCTATAATTTACAATGTATACATGACAGTACCTGAGAGCTTTACTCGTCTTGGACAGCTGATGTGATATGCTATGGATGGAATGAGATATTGAAAAAAAGTAAACTGAATGACACTTCAACATGTTTCTATTCGATAAGCTTCAATATTTTTTTTTATGCGAAAAGTTGTCAAACGAGCAGACGGTTAACCTGATGTTAAGTGAATACCGCCGCCCATGGGCATCTGCCACACCCGAGGGTTACAGATGCGTTGACAACCTTTTGAAAATTATACAGGGTTTAATTTTTTTTTTAAATGATTTAGCTTAATCTTGTCTCCGATGGCATTAGAAACGAAGTTCAACTGCACCAGCTGTCTTTTTTTTTAATTTAGAACTGGCTAGCACTTGACTGCCATCGCACCTGATGGTAAGTGGCGATGCAGCCTTTGACGGTAAGGGAGCTAGCTCAGTAAAACCTATTCACACTTGCCTTGAAGATGCCTACGTTGTAATCGGACGGAAAGACGGACGCCAGCAGGTTGTTCCATTCCTTATTAGGTTCATTGACCAATTGCGATGTTCCATATTTTAATAAGGTTTACTCTAATGTTTAAGTCACCACGACAACTGAAAGCGTATCAATCCTGATGTATGAAATATAAATAATATTATAAATTAAATACGGGCATTTAAATTGTTTATAGTGCTAATCTTTGCACTTAAGATTAAACATTAAAATATGTAGAAAAAGTGCGAAAAGATTGGTGACGTGGGTTCGATTCCCACAGCGGCGACAATCTTTTCGCACTTTTTCTACATATCTTAATGTTCAATCTTAAGTGCAAAGATTAGCACTATAAACAATTTAAATTTCTAAAAAAGCAATGGCGACATCTCTCGTTCGACTTATCGTTGTAAAACGATATTCGAAGTTGTTTGTATGCTGGAAAGGAAACTACAATAGATGGCGCCAAGCATTGCTTCAAATGCTAAAGAAAACGATGTGGAAAATGCGTTAAGATTTTCGTCGGTGTGGTAATCAGCCGTTTAGCTCAAGATTTAGCCCGCGACCGAAGACGTGGGTTCGATTCCCACAGCGGCGACAATCTTTTCGCACTTTTTCTACATATTTTAAATGTTCATTCTTAAGTGCAAAGATTAGCACTATAAACAATTTAAATTTCTAAAAAGCAATGGCGACATCTCTCGTTCGACTTATCGTTGTAAAACGATATTCGAAGTTGTTTGTATGCTGGAAAGGAAACTACAATAGATGGCGCCAAGCATTGCTTCAAATGCTAAAGAAAACGATGTGGAAGAATGCGTTAAGATTTTCGTCGGTGTGGTAATCAGCCGTTTAGCTCAGTGGCTAGAGCTTTAGCCCGCGAATGCCGAAGACGTGGGTTCGATTCCCACAGCGGCGACAATCTTTTCGCACTTTTTCTACATATTTTAATGTTAAATACGGGCATTTCATAACGCAGAAACAGATGTATTTATATTTATTTTATCTAGCGTTTATGTAGTTATTGGAATATATATATTTAATAGTTTATAGTATGCATGTTTGCGTTTAGTATATTTATATATGTACCTTTTTATGCTTTTCTTTTAGAATTTAATGTTAGATTTTGTTTTGCACCTACGTCAAATTTTCACTACTTCCAGGGTTGACTGGAAGAGAATACTTATAAGCATTATGTTTGCTTTTTGTTTGGCCTTATGTTGGGGTGTAAACAATAAATAAGTAAACAAATCGGAAAGGTTCAAATTTTTCTCGAAGTACATAAGTTAATAAATTCAATATTTCCATTGGATGAGATTGGAACAGCACCAGTAAGCCGGGTCCAGATCAAGAGCTCAAGTCTGCTGTAATGCAAAATTTTCCACTTCACCCGCCAAAGTCCTCTAATATTTGTGCTATCCTTAGAAAATCCACCGTATTACATTTTCAATACACGAACACGTATGAAATATACGAACATTTGACTATCAATGCTTCCTTACAAAAACCCTTACAATGTAATCTTTTCTTTGGCACGTGTAAAAATTATCTGAGAAAACAATCTCTCATTTCGTAAAACACCTTAGTAAAATAGTGATCGAACTAGGACACAAAGGCTAGTTATATGCCTATAATATTATGTTACAAGAATTTAATATCTTAGTTAAATATTTAGTTATGTGGTATTTTAAAACGCATTATTTACTGTGTGTAATTTTTATTCTTACTTTTTATCTTATTTTTTAATGTTATTTTATTATCGGTTTATTTTTGATCTACTATAGGTTTATCTTTATTGTTATGGAATTTTTTTGGATTTTATGTAATTGATAAAGTGCTATAATTTTTTTCATGTTCGTGGTGTTCGCCTGTAAATGTTCGTTCGTCACATATTATGTACGTATATGTTAACACAATTGGTGAATCTGTAAATAAATAAATAAATAAATCATTTTTGGCTGTTAAAGACTTTGTAGCTTATAGTTAATTTAAAGTTATCGGAAACGATGGTTTGCTCTTGCAGAATATTATAATATGATTTTTTTTAATCATTACGCATTCCATTTAACTATAAACGTCAATTACTTCAAATCGGGAACGCGGAATTTGACATAAAAGATTTTCTGTAGCGAGCTTATTAAACACAGCAGTTTACACTTTAAACACATAAGGTTATGTGAAAATTACTAGCAATCATTATAATTAAATGAACGCATGCCCAAGCACAATTTATGCATCGAGTGAATTAACATTAAATTTAATGTTTTATTTACCTAATTAGCGCGAATGCTCTAGTTTATTTGTACTACGAATTACCGCAACGCAATTATTTCGACCTGTTCCAATTACGTGCCATTAATTATGGCGTAATTGATCGCGTACTTTCGAACGAACAACGCAAATGTGTACTGTTCAACAAATCGCAAGCTATAAATTAGCTCCGAGTGGGTGATCAGTTTAAAGGTACAGGCGCGTTGAGAGGCGGCCGTTCAAGGTCGCCGATGTTCGCGGCCTAGCGCGAGTGTACCACGGGGCTCGTATGTACCGCAGTGCGGCGGGCTGCGGTAGGTATGCGCCGGCCTGCGGACCGCGGGATTTGGGCCCGTACTTGGCCGGCGCGGACACCGAAGGAGACTTTAATGAGGCGATTCATGAGTCGATATAACGCAGGTGAAACATACTTAGTAACAAAAACCGCAACCGAATTCAAGCACCTCACTAACTGTAGGTTTTCTTTAAAATTTGTAGAAAAAGTACGACTAGATCGTCGCCGCTGTGGCAATCAGCCGTTTAGCTTAGTGGCTAAAGCGTCGGGCCGCAAATGCCGAAGACGGGTTCGATTCCCACAGCGGCGACAATCTTTTCGTACTTACAAATTTTAATGTTTAACCTTAAGTGCAGAGGTTAGCACGATAAAAAATTTAAATTTGTACATTTTCTATTTGATTTAGAGCAGTCCCCTGCTGCAAACCTGGAGCTAAAGGCCCCATAGCGATGAAATCGATACGGGACTACAAGGGGGCTATAGGGTTGGGTCATATAGTCCCGTGAAAGGGGGATTTTTAAAATCGGTTCATAACGGCGTTCAGAGGTAGCAAACATAAAACAATAAACGTAGTAATTTTTTTTAACTTAAACAAAGCCGACATCAACTCACTCTCTGTACGTTTTCTAGTAGATTTTGAGGAGTTCCCTGCTATATCTCCCGAGTCGAAGATATAATACGGACGAAATATATAAGGACCATATTGGAGCTAAACCGAACATAATGCAAAAATATATTATAAAATCGATTGATAAAAACTACGCAACGAATCTTGATGCGGTTTTTTTTACTAGATAGAGTGATTCAAGAGGAAGGTTTATATGTATAATACATTGCACCCGTGCAAAGCCGGGCGGGTCGCTAGTTTAAAATAATATATGAGAATTCAAAACAATTGTCCCTCTTTTAAACGTTTTTTTTTTTTTAATTCAGTCGATAAGAAAGGCTAGCTATTAATTACATAAGACAAGATATTTATTAATGGATTATACTACGAATTTTACTATTATAAAAACTAGTGGTAGTTTTTTGTCTCTCGGACGGAGATCGCAATCAGCCGTCATGTCAAAATTTCAATGAATAGAATTTACTAAACTTCAAATCAATTTATTAAGCTTATATTATTAACTTTGATTTCTTTTTTGTGTTATTTTTTTTTTTTTGAGTTATTAAAAACGATACATCAAATAACGAATGTAACTTAAAAACGTTGAACTACCTTTTCGTGCCAAAGTATTCATTGAACGAAAAGCAGTGTAAAGAAAAAGGCTTAACATTTATTTATATTACATACTTGCATCCGGAATGCCTCCTTTGAGAACCATTTTAAATTTGGTAGTGAGCCAAAACTTCTGCTTGGTCATTCGCAGTGAGTTCTATAAGTAGTGGGGAAACCGTTTCGTGTTTCGAGTAAAAACTTTCGTTCGTCTGTTGCCGTAGATGCTAAACGAAAAAAAGAAACGAAGAAAAGAACCGAACTTGTGCACTTTTTCAGTGAAACTGTTTTTAATGCTACGTTTGGATGATATATTTTATGTTTATATTTAAAATAAACATGAGTAATTTGTGCGTAGAATACTAGAATCCACTTTTAGCAAAAGTTCTTAATTAAAAACCTGTGCAGTTCTCACAAAGTTTTCGCTCTTGCGAATACCGTATTTTTAAGGTGATACTTCACACACGTGTAGTCTTCGTTCTGACGTTTACCTTCTTTGCGTGAATTTATTGCCTACATGGCCTTAAATTCAACAAAATTTCTTTTTTTTCTTGCAACTAATTCCTCGCTATAGTAAATGCACACATAAACAATTTGTCATGCCTTTAAACTCTACAGACTAGGAATGAGTGAGGTAGCCGGGGCCCGCTTTACTAAAACTACCTGAAGCACCCTTTTTTTTGGGAAATCGTGTATTTTGAAAATAAAAAGAATAAAAAATAAAGAAGCAATGATCTGGTATAGAAAAGAAACCACGGCTTTCTGTTTCGGGGCCGCCCTACTGACCGACCGCTATTATAAAATTTTTTTTTTTTCGGCGAAATTTACCGCCATATTCGAATGATATTTTTCATTCCCTGAAAACAGGGATAAAAGGACGTTTTCTAAAAATGAAACCTAGCTAGATCGATTTTTCGGCCCCTAATCTATGCACATACTAAATTTCATGAAAATCGCTGCTATATATATATATACAAGAATTGCTCGTTTAAAGGTATTATTATAAATGTGACAACGCATCTGCAACCTTATGGGTGTTGCAAATGACCCAGTCAGGTTGTGGTCACTCGCTTGTCACCTTGTCACATAGAAAAAAAATAAGTAAACCAGTAACTTACTTGATCACGTTGTGCCTGCAAAGAAGATCCGTTGATGGTGAAGTTTTAAGAGTTCGAGTTCGACATAATCTAGATATTCCTTCTCGGGGTCCAGTTATCCAAAACTGGGAAAGACCACTATATGTGTAAGCGCATTATACGCCCACTTGGCATAAAAATACAAGTCCACTTTTTTTTTATTAACGAACAACAAAACCAACTTCAAATATCTCGCTCTGTATTCATTTTACAATTGATTTTCAGCAGTTCCTTACGTATCTCCGGAGATCCAATACCGATGAAATTAACACGGGACCAAATGGGAAGCACCAGCTTTCAAATAAAAAAAGAATCTTCAAAACCGGTTCACCCAGTCGAAAGTTCGGAAACAAACTTAAAAAAAACAGTCGAACTGAGAAACTCCTTCTTTTTTGAAGTCTTTCAAACAAGCGAAGATGTCAAAATAGTCCATAGTCGAGTAACAGGGGAGATTCCGAGTAGGAGCGCAGTGGTGACGTAGTTGTATATACATTTTCTCTCAGTTTCTCTAAGTGCCACTTTCTACTGTAGAAGAGCGACGAGAGATACGTTCGTCGGTTTCGCATAAGACAGCTGGAGCATGAAAGAGATAATAATTTTATAACCATACTGTAGTGCTTCAAATTTATAAATTCTCAAAGGTTTCGACTATTTAGATAATACTTGCCACACATTATTTTTTAATATATTTGGGATAAATAAACAGTGCCACAATAAAGAAAAATAACTTAAAACTAAATATAACAATACAAATTCAATAATTGTGACACCAACACCATTTAAATGTAATTTAAAAAATGGGGCAATAATTTTACCTCTTTCTTGCATTAATAGATATTAAATAGAGCACGAGAATATGCTTTTAAATGACAATCACTGCCAATGTAGAATATATAGAAACATGGTTACCTGTGAATATAAAATGAACTGACAGTTAAATGACCTTTATTCAGTTTACGCGCACAGCTCACCGAAATTAAAAATCCAAACAAAGTATCATCTACATAGATGATACATACAAAACTTTAACCCAAATACATATTTAGGTTAACGTTTCGTACAGGTTGACCAATTAAAGACACGTCAAATTTTCTAGCGAAATCTATATAAATTTAAATATTGAATTGTTTATTATAATTATTTTTAATTGTTGCATATTCCAGTTATTATGACCTGAGGTAACTCTCAATAATATAACCTTATCAAATATGGTTAACCTTTTAGATTGTTCTGCGTTTCTTAAGCAGACAAGGCTCAGTTGTCTCGTAAATAATAGAATACAAAGAAAAGAAAATATAATATTTCGTTGTATAAAAAAAATAGAACTGATTTTTGAATCGAAAGATTAACTTAGATTCGATTTGGCATATAAATGTTATATTTTGTGTATTTAACCCACTGTTTTTTTACGGAGCTGCTAGTATCTTTTTATACGTGCTATCAGTATTAAGTCCGCCAATGTACAGTGTTTTAAGCATGTATTTTTAAATTAAAAAATATATAATGAAAACAAAAAAAATCAAACGACTGAGTTCACGTGATTTTATTTATTTAAGTTAATAATGTCTCAAATTGTAATAATTTCAGTGACAAAGATAGTTGTAGTTCACGTTTAAAAGAGCTCATTAAGTCAATACATGCACACAAGCCCTTCGCCCTGCACAGAGCACAAATGTGGGACAGACAAACGTTCCACGTAAATATAACGTTAATAAAGCTAAATATCGTGTAAACCGTAGATTAGCTATCTACGGATCGAAGCTGCATGATATACTGTCGCTGCTCACGAAATCCAAAAGGTCAACTTTTTCGTAAGCAGCATAAGGCCCTGACACGACGTCCGACTGGAAGTGACACCCGTTATTTAGCATCGCTTTATGCTAATAACGGAAATAATTCACAAACGCTATCTTAACTGTTTCTGAGAACTATTTATATACTGTTATAACTAAAAGCCCCTAGGCTTAATGGTAGCTTTTAAAAGGTTACTACTAAAATAAACAATTTATATGACAATTTTTAACAAGTTTACATTATGGACAATTCATTAATGAATTTGTTGATGGACATTATTGTTGTATTAGGTACAAGACACCGCAATCTGTGGTTATATTAATTACTAGATTTTCATCATGTTTATGAATGCTATTTTAAGCCATAAGATTTAACCTGTGGTTACAACCTAATACAGTTCGAGTTCCTTCTTTAGAGCTGTTCCTCATTTAAATCGTAATCAGATGGGATTTAGTAAGAAATTATTCGAAATTCTCTTAAATGTCAGAGGGAGGGAGGCCATCGTAAATTCGCAGCGTTGAGGTAAGGGAGCCAAGTGAGATTTATATTTTAAACGGCGCCCAGCATTTTCTGTACAGTCGAAATTAAATCGCAAATTTAATTTGGAAAGACTTTTGGGAGCGTTCAAGGCGAAACGTTTCCAGAATTTCCCTTCTCTTTAATTTGTTTATTGAGACGTTTAACGATTACCTACGTTAATACATTTTCGTTTATAAGTGTAGTAATTAACGTTAAAAGGTGTTTAAACGTTTTATAAAATTGTTATTTTTCAGTTATTACTATATGCCTTTTTTATTATTATTTTTATTTATTATATATTTTTAAAATTCCTACTTCAAGTCGAAGAGAGACTCCGCTGTACATATAGTAAATCATTTCATGCAATGTTGGACACTAAATCTAATCCATAAAACACTGAATTGGAAGGCCTAGTGTGTACGACGAGCAAGAGTAATAAGTAAAACATTAGA